ATGGATTGTAGCTTTTCCAGGAGGATTCAACAAAAACCACATGTTCATAGCTCCAAAGTTCAATTTATCAGTGACTAGATGAAATACATGTTTCTCTGGTTCCTGCAAAATATCACGTCGTATTCTTCAACAACCCACTGGAAACATCAAACATAGTGCTAATTTCGTTAAAGCCAAGATAATAGGTGATGAACTACAGAAACATGCAAGGCAGCGAAAGAAATCCAAGGGGAAACCAAGTATAACATGCAATTTTTTGATGTTTGGTGATTGTTATCATGGATTGGATAGAGCGATAGTGCACCAGCAAGTAACAAGCCAGAAAATACAATAGAGTTTCTCAAACATCCAAAGCAATGTATAAAGGCATATGTGGACGATGGTCTCCAAAATATCAAACAGAATCCCTCACCTTAGCATTCACAATAGTTGAGTTGACAACAACTGAAGCAGCCAAAACATTATCCGAAAATAGCGCATAATGGAAGAGATCAGGATTTTCCAGATTTTCGCCTCTAGGGAACTTTCTTTTTAAAGGAGGAAGGAGGTAATAGTCAATGGTCAAACGCATGGACAGGCAGTGGATCCCATTAGGTATAGTCTTTGCCGCTAATTGGCTCAAAAAAGTGCTCTGCCTCTTCAAACTTCTGACTTGCTCATCAGCAGATTGCAGCATTGCTCTCAGTTTCGTTGTCACAAGCTTGCAGTCATAGAGCTGCTCTCTAGCTTTAGATAGCACCTGGCCCATAACTTTCATTTTCTCATGTGCACTATTGTACAGGGGAACATGAATGTGTTATTCTTCACTGTATAGAGCGGAGACAAAAAGCAATGTGATCGAGCATGCAAAAAAGTCAACAAAAATCACCTGCGTGTTAGATCAGCATCAGAGCCTGCATCACCTAACACACGCTGACTTTCTTTAAGCCGAGTCTGTAACTCGTGGGCCAGGTCAAGCTTCTTTTTCATTGTAGCTATGCTTATGTACACCCTTGCCATAATCATTTGATCTCGCATCAAGCGTACTGTTGAATCAGTGTTCTCATTATCGTTTTCTTTCCTCCATATACTGTACTTCCCCAGCACAGAAGAGTCAACTGACTTGGAGCGCTCGATGGCAGCATTTTCAAGCTTCACAGTCACATCATCATCTCGTTTGAGTAAATCAGCAGCACGCTTTTCACGTTTTCTCTCTCGCAGTTGCTGCAGAGCAGGTTGGAAAGTTATTAACTCAATTATTCATAGGTGGAATGCAAGCAAGATCCTGAGGGGGAAGTATTCCGTGTGCAGTGAAGGATGAGTTCAAAATTCTTGATTTCTAATTGCTATTATCAGAAGTAAGAAATAAATGTGAGTCTAAATCAGCTGATAACTATACATACCCTTCTGGCCAACTTAGCGGGTGAATCCAGAAACTGGGAATTATCCCCTGGAAAATTAGAAAGCCCTTGATTATTGAAACACGTATGATGCAACTAAAATTAATACCAGATCTGTAACAAAGCATTTACCTTTAACAGGATTATGCTGTTTGCCTCTGGTGATTTCTGGTTTGGAATCTGCAGCTATTGGACTTGGCTTATTTACCTGTGATACATCGAAAAAGAAAAGAAATCAGTATCTTGCTAGTCACATGATTTTTTTTTATGGGTTGCTAGTCAAATGATTTTTCCAGGACAGATAAGAATTTTAGTTACGGAAAGCCAAGCTCAATCCTGACCTCTACATCAGCTACATTGTGCTTATCCACGATTTCTTGCCCGACAAATCTCCATGAGGCAGACAAATTGTTCTTTCTAAAAGAATCAAGACTGAGAGGTCCTAAATCATCTGTACTGGCTTTAATGATATCAATCACCTAAAGGTATGCACAATTACTTAGAGTAAGAAATCACCATCACTGTAGACCAAAGGAGAATGCTAAACTTAAAAACAGAACTTGAAAAATTACTTGCCTCTTTTGTTAGTAAGGGTTTTATTTGTTGCAGAGCAAGCCTCTCTCTCCAGTCTAAATCCTGCAGCAGAGTGAAAATTTTCCTTATCCAACTACATTCAGCAGCCTGGAATTCTAATACATGGGTACAATATAGCAAAGCCTGATACCTGTTTACTTGAAGTGGTGGAAACATCATTATGATCTGCAAAAGCACAATAACTTGAGTTATAACAACTTACACAATCGCAGGGAGGATAATATGTGAAACAACTGTGGCAGTCATAACAATTACAGCATGGGTATTTCAACCCACAAATATAATAGTGAATACCCACTTGAAACAGCCATTTATGCAGCCGTGACCTCAGCTTTCCCACTCATAAGACACCAATTGACGACAACCAAACTAGTACTGGCTAGTGGCTACCTCAAACTGCCCAACGACAACCCTACTTACTCCTTCCAGCAAAAGAATTGTATGTGACCTACTTTCTTAATTTCTTTTCAAGGAGTCCAATGAAATAGTTTTAAAATTCTTAATATTCTGAGATACCATTAGTAGTTAGAAATATCTGCCATTTAGTTTCTCAATCTCAAACTGTTACAGTAAAAGTATAATAAATACGTATTTGATATGATTTTAGAAAATGTTAGAGAACCACCTATCTACCCGGCCTTGAGAAATGGATAAATGAGAAAGTTAACCACTTAAAGTAAACTAGTGACCAGAAACAGTGTGCATAATAGCAGAATGAAAACCTAGAAAATTGAGCTAAAATATACAAACAGTGTATCGATGCAATAGCAAATCAGGTAGTGTATTTAGTCTGCTGAGATTTGAAACCTGGTCTCCAAGGTTTGCGCCCACTTCATAGACCACTAGGCCACACTCTTCGGTGCAAGAACCTCTAGTTTTTGAGAACTAGATTTATCTTAAAACACAAATTATTAATAATTGGAACAAAAGGGGGGCCCAAGAAAACAAAATTGATATAGATGATTCATTAGCCAATCCCAACTACATTGGAATCGAGGCGTAAGTGTTGTTGTGATACATCACACTCAATTAGTATTAACTGAGTTGAATAAAACACAATGTCCTGTAGTGAAATAAGCACTAATCGGCAGACAATCAAAACCCAGAAATATAATTACAATAGCTTCAATGAGAGAATATAAAACTAACCAATCGAGGTGTAGAGGCCACGGCCGACAAAGAAAATCAAAGGAGCAAGGAATGAACAGAAGATTAGAACCAAAATAGGGAAGCTACTAGATCTAGTGCTTCTGTTCCTTTGGCTGCCTCCTAAACCTGATGATCCCCTCTTCAATGCCATATCCTGTGTCCCATACATTCATTCAAATCCACAAAAATAAGAATAAAAAAAAAGTACAAATTTATAAGCAAACACTCAGATATACAGAATGAATGAATGAATAAATAAATAGGTAATAAAGGCATAAAATTAAGCACAAAAAGAAGTGTCAAAATTTTTCAAGGAAACAACAATGACCCATCAAAATAAAAGAAGAAATAGAAAGAGAAAGGGAGATTACATAGGGACTCTTTCAAGATAGTTCTGTCTCTTGCTAGCAAAAGTTCATAACCCTAAAAGAAAAAAAAATCTGAAGAATAAATGAAAAGAGTGGGTCTATGGGGGTGACTCCTGAAATCAAAATGTGATTAGAGAGAGAATGATGGATCAAAAGGGAAGAAGGGTACCCCAAAAAGAGGAGAAGAAGAAGAAGAAAGAGATCTGAGAAATTCGAGTTTGAGGAAGATAAAAAAATGTACCCAACTCTTTTGCTTTTTTCTCTTTTTCTCTTCTGTCTTCTCTCTCTTTCAATTTCTGATTTTTTTCTTTTTTTCCTGGTTTAAGAAATAGTGTAAAGTGGAGATTAACGACGTCGTTCTTTCGCCGACAGGGGCCACACTATGCAGCTTTTAATAATTTAGTGGTGAGGAAAGCCATAGACTTATTAATCATTATTAATGAATAGATAAATGGAGTAGTAATAATTTGTAATATCTCCCTTCATTTAAGATCCTTTACTTATCCTCTAGTTGTTTAACCTAATGAATGTATCTTATGGTCTCAACTCTCAATTCTAGTTCTATGAAATTAACAACTACCTGTATTAACTCAAAAATTCCAAATCACTTTTGTACTCAATAACTCAATATTTTTCATTTTCTTAAATTTCCCATCTTATTGCCAAAGAGTACTCCTGTTAGATTATATACCACAAAAGTTGATTGCGTACCGAATTTACGAAGGAAATAAAAAATTTAGTACATAGCAACTTACAATTTTAAGTATGTCATGATATTTATGGATATAGGATTGTAAAAATAGCATTTTTTAGAATAGATTAAAGAAGAAAAAAAATTATATAAAATAGAATAAATTACAACTCTACAAGCGGGGTCTAGGGAATATAATGCATAGGCAAACCTCATCACTATCTTATAAAGATAGTAATTTTATTTCAAATAGACCCTCCGCCGTAGAAACAAAATAAAATAGAATAGATTGAGTAATATAATAAGCTATGAGAATTTGTGCTTTTGACAGAATAAAGACACGAAATAATGAAATTGCTGTTAAGCCTTCGTTGAACGGGGCACATTTTCAGTCGTGAGCAAAAATGATAGTACTAGTATATCACGAAGTCCAATGTCACCATTGGCCAAGTCAGTAGCCATTTCAAAGGGTGTGTTAGAATTTTAGTTTTTCAGTTCAAAATTTTAAAACAAAAATATTTTAAATTGTGCTGAAGTTAAAAATTTTAGTTAAAAGTTTTAAGACAAAATAAATGCTGACTAATTTTTAAATAGCATCCCTAAAAATGACTATTTGTACACTTGCCCCATGTCAAGAGCATTCTTGCTAGCAGACACTGTCTAACGTAACAACGGAGTTGATTTCACATTGGGATGGGATGGGCAGACACAATCTAATGTAACAGTAGCATTCTCGGTTAATTCATCGGATACCTGCTATCTTCCACAGTAAGAAAGATCACCTATTGTAATGTCTTTGTTGTAAATTGAACCCTTGTCTTCAATGGGTTAGAAAAAACCCTTAGATACTTGTTACTTAAACCATCTTGCAGATATAAACGAATACAAGATATAGGTCTGGAATGCATCGACACACTGGATTTGATGTTAATTTTACAGAAAAAGGTAGCATTAGCCCAGAGCATATAATGAACTAATGCATAAGTGGGGCTACATACATATCAAGGATAGGGAAGTTAAGAAAAGGAACACAAAGTATACTACAAGCTAAGATGGTTCTATTTTTAATGCGGGTACTGTTACAGGTCACTGGAACGTGATAGCCACATCCAAGTAATCTCCAATCTGCAGGGGTTAAAAACAAGTCAGAATCCTATATGCAATTGATGCTACAATCTAAACAAACTCAGTACAGTTCAATGGATACTTCACCATTGCCTATAAGAAAAAAAACATATCGAACAAAGTTTACCTGAAATTTTAGTTCACTCAAGCTTTTGCTGCCACTATCAGGTCGTCTCCCATTTGGATAAGAGTACGTTCTCCCCACCTTCACAACAAATAGAAAACCCGAATCAGGCCAGTATTAGCTTTTCCTTGATATGATTAGGCAGGAATCAGCTTCAACACGCTCACGGTTAATAAAAGGAACGGTCAGCGGAGTACAGATTACAGACATAGTTATAAGTTATAACATCCAACACCCTATATTTAGACAGAATGTTCCACCACCCCAGAACTTTTTAGGATGGAACACTTCAGCTACCTGCGGATTATTCCAAATCCCAGAACTTCCAAGTTTTCCATCATTTTGTCTTCTGAAATAAATTAAGATTATACGGGAAATTCGAAATGGCATCATACTGAAATGATTATCAGCTAACTAATTGATTGATTGATTGATATAGTTCTGCTCATTACAAAAGCTGAAGTATGAAGATGTAGGAACCAACACAAACTCATTTTCACCATGTTTTTTTTTTCGATGAACTCATTTTCACCATGTTTTGCCATAATTGTTTCAATATCATCTGCCTATATCTTTGGTGATAGACAAGAGGGGTTGCTCTGATGGTAAGCAACCTCCACTTCCAACCAAGAGGTTGTGAGTTCGAGTCACCCCAAGAGCAAGGTGGGGAGTTCTTGGAGGGAAGGATGCCGGGGATCTATTGGAAACAGCCTCTCTACCTCATGGTAGGGTTAAGGTCTGCGTACACACTACCCTCCCCGGACCCCACTAGTGGGATTATACTGGGTTGGTGTTATTGTTGTTGTTGTATATCTTTGGTGATAATATCCTCATTAATCTAGTTCAAGCAGGAACTAAGAGTCAAGAGACATGAACTACATTTCGAAATGGAGACTCATTACAGCTTAAAGAAAGTTAGAGGAAAAACGCGACAACCAAAAACTCTTATATAATCCTCCCAGAAGAGAAAAAAAGCCAGATGATAGCTTGCAGCAATTTTTCAAGTTCTCGCACATTAGCAACCGAAGTTGGTTCGCAAAAGCTAGAGAACAAATGTGCAATTCTAACTCGATGGGACCCTTGTCTCGATTCCGGTCCCTTGTCATCATGTCTCGAGCTTCCCCTCGTTTCTCGGAGAGTGAGTTGACGAGAAACGATATGAACTCCCCGATTCCTTCTTCTATACGCCGTGACGAAAATAACAAAAAATCTGAAACGTCTCATCAGTCATGTCATAATGGCCTTAAATGCGTGTCAGCCGTCGGTTAGTTGTTCCTGTACGCAAACCGTCGCGGAACCCCTATAAATATCTCCTGCTTTGTTCATTTTTCACTTTACATTCAAACTTCCACCTTCGATCTTTTAAGAGACTACGGTCTTCTTTCATCCCCCAATATTCTAAAGTTAGTGTGTTTGGTTTCATTAACAAGTTCTCATCCTTCATCCCCTCATTCTCCTTCATAGTTACATTTTAAAGAAATGGCAAAGACTTCCAAGACCGTTCCCCAGAAAGATGCTCCTTCCACTTCGCGGCCGGCCACTGAGGTTAATATTTAACAGCTCCAAATCAGCAGATAAAGGTAAATTGAACGTGGAAGACAAACAAGGCAAGTTCAAATAGCGCTGAACTGAGACATTATCACATATACTAGACTCGAAGTCCATGGAAATTGAAAGGTGCTGAACTGAGACATTATCGCATATACTAGACTCGAAGTCCATGGAAATTGAAAGGTGGACACTCTATCTACCAACATTTTAGAAGGTTTTAGTCAATAGAGTGAGTATCCCCTCCTTTAGTTCTGTAGCCTCAATTTTCATCTGGTAGAATGTAAATATTAGTATATCATTATCAGATAATGACATCTTACACTAAAAATGGAAATGGTCAATAGGCACAGGGTAAGATGCACATCATCAATTTCAAAAAACAAGCCGCACCATTGATCGTTTCTCAATGCTTAAAAGTAGGTGCACAACAACCCCACCCCCCATCCAAAGGAGCAATGAGGTTACATTAACACATATATAAGAGATGGGAGACAGACCTCTCTAACCACAAACCGCCCTCGTTTATCAGGATACACAAAAGCAAATGACAAACTTGCATCTCTTCGTCTTGCTTCTGGAGCTACCTCTTTAACCTGCCAAACAGTTCAATGAATGGATGCAACATAAATAACTTAAACATTTCCCACATAAGTAAAGTGGGTCACAAAGGAAGGCGAAGAAAGTTGCAGCACAACCACTAAGGCAAACACTAAAAGCTATCCACTATATTGCCGCTTTTTGGTTGGCAATCTGAGTCATCTGATACGTCTAAGTCTAATATACAATGTAGAATACTACTACGTTTGTGAAGAAAGAAAAAGTCTGACCTAACTTTCAATTTTTGGAGAAAATCAGATTTGACAAGCTCAACACCAACTGCTCTTGACTGTCATATTTGAGATTCTGATATTCCAACTCATATCACCTCAATGGAGTTAGGACCCAAAATGGGTGGAAAAGCCGGAAATGGGTTGTCCAAACTATTTTGAACAAAAATGGGTTGTTCGCAGTTTTTTCCTGCGATATACATTAAAAATTAATAAATTCCGGACGGAGCCGGCTAACGGCCTTTAAGGCCTAGTTAACTGTATATGCAGTTTTTTGTGCGATATAATAGTTTGGACAACCCATTTCTGTTTTTAGCTAGTTTTTTGGCCCATTTTGGGTCCAAAATACTCCTATGTTTCAATCATATTTTGGAAATCAACTGATTGGATTCAAATACGGTTATTTTGTACAGGAGGTAACTCAGCACTTCACAAAATCCAAGCCTAGCTCATTCTTCTAGACAATTATTGGATTGGTAATGCCTACAAGTCAATGTCCCAGGAGGAAGATTGCGAAAGTTTGCAACAATGTAATAATATCTTGAAGCACAACTTTCTGATGCATAGTCAAGGAATGAACACACTGATAGAGAAATAAGAAAGCAAAGTCTAAATTAAGGAGATCAGAGGAAAAGCATATTATAGTTATCTCTTCATACCAGATCAGTTAATTCACGCAGAGTAGCATCCATCCATGTATAGATCTGGACCTCATCTTTAGGTTCCTTGCCTCTCACGGCAAAATCATTATCACTATGATGGCCTCCAATCTGCAAGTTTCGAAGCAAATGTTTGCTAGGTTATTGTTGATAGAGTATTTTATATCAAATACTTCATTTCTTCTGATAAGGTAATAATTTATATCAAATACTTACATAATTGTATCCAAGAAGGAAGAAGCCAAAAAATATGAGAACAGGTAACCTTTATGGTAATAGTAAAACAGTACACAATATGCCAATAAATTGTAAGATTATGTACAGATGCTTTTGTAGATAGTACCAGTATTCTCAAAGGCGAGAAGCCAAAAAATATGAGAACGGGTAACCTTTATGGTAATAGTAAAACAGTACACAATATGCCAATAAATTGTAAGATTATGTACAGATGCTTTTGTAGATAGTACCAGTATTCTCAAAGGCGAGAAGCCAAAAAATATGAGAACGGGTAACCTTTATGGTAATAGTAAAACAGTACACAATATGCCAATAAATTGTAAGATTATGTACAGATGCTTTTGTAGATAGTACCAGTATTCTCAAAGGCGAAAAGCTCTACAAAGCGCTCTAGGATTATTGGGACTTTAAGCTCAAAGCACAATTTAAGTGTGGGCTTTAGTAGAAAAGGCGCAATGAATTATATATATATATATATATATATATATATATATGTAATTTCAGGAAAAAGTAACAAATTCATTCTTAATGTTTTCCTCAACAACTAATGCACTTATGTGTCGATTATATTTGTTGTTTAGTACTGCTCCATTCAAGATAGAACTCACGGGCAATGAGTGCCCACGCCTTAGTGCATTCCCTACACCAAAGCATAGCTTAAGCGAGGCAAAACACCATCCGTAGCTTTTATGAGCTTCAGGGCTTAAGCGCGCCTTAAATGAGCCTTTGACAACACTGGAGAGTACAAGAGACTACGAGAATGCAAAACCTAAGAAATAAAACTTATTGCTTTAAACATTTGTTAATACTACTGAAAATCCGAATAAAGAAAGATTATACAGAACTTTGGCAGAGTGCATACCTTGGTGAAAACGCGAAGCAAGAGTGGACAAGTCTGGTGTTGGGATAGAAACCAAAAAACAAAAGCAAAAGATTTCTTTAGTAACTAATAGTATGCAAAAAAAGAGAGGATGTTTTTCAGACATTGAGGAATAAGATGCCGATTATGCTAGCATATTAATACAAGAAGAAAAATTAGAGGTACTCTAAAATAAAATTTAACCTATAATTAAGGATACCAAAAACGAAGAAGCATTATTTCTAAAACCTAGAGATAATACAAAGTACCCTTGAAAGTTTTACAGGGAAAAGGAGAGGAGGACCTTTTCACGGTCAACGGGTTGGACCCGAGGGCCCATTCTGAGGGGAGGAGGACCCGGTGGGACTCTCGCTGGAGGAGGAGGCAACGGTCTTCCCCTTCTCTGCACTTCCGCCATTGCTCTGCGTTTTCTTGATCTGTTTTACTGCACCAGAAGCACAATAATACTACTAGCAACTTTACTCGCGTTTGCTTTTCGGGCCAGTCTGTTACTCTCATCCTATGTTTATGGGCTCTAGTTTAGATGGCTAAACCAAAATTAATGGGCCTCACAATTGGGCCAATTGTAAAGTATAGAGCTGTTGAGGAAAATCATTTGTTTGCATCAAATCAGCTTATTTTGGGTGAATTTCAAAAATAGCCAGATTTATAACTGGTTATTTTTAAGGGATCTTTACACAAATAACCGGTCATATTCATTGTTTACTTTTTATAGCCATATACATAGATTATATATTCATTATGCAGATATAATACATAAATTATGCATATATTATACCTCCACCGGCTATTTCTAGTTTAAGCAGTTGAGTGGGCGGCTATTTGGGTTAATTCTTCTATTTTTAATTATCCACAATTTCAAAAATAATCTAAATTTAGACATTTTTCATGTAAAGATAAAATATGACCAAAATACTGTTAAAAATCCAGAAATATTCCAGCATAATATGTTGAAGTTCGAATTTTTTACATATGAGCTTGCAGCATAGTATACTGAAATTTTATAATGTGTTGGAGTTCCATCATAATATGCTAGAAGTTTATATGCAGGAGCTCCATAATCCCGCATATTATACTAGAATTTTTCGTGCCCTGGAGTTCCAACATAATATGCTGGAAGTTTATACGTTGGAGCTCAATAATCCTGCATATTATGCTGAAACTTTCCGTGTCCTGGAGTTACAACATAATATGCTGGAAGTTTATTCGTAGGAGCTCCATAATCCCGCATATTATGCTGGAACATTTCATGTTTCGGCAAAACAATGGTTATTTTTCAATGACTTCGCAAACGGGGGCTATTTTTTGATTACTAGTCCGAAAAATGGCTAGCCCGTACTATTTTGACGTTTATTTTAGATTTAGTAGGAGCATAGCTCAAAATTGAGACATTAATTATCTAAGATAAAGTGTGTGTGTGTGTATATATATATATATATATATATATATATATATATATATATATGTGACAGGTTGTTGGGGTTCTAGGGTGGGAAGATGTTGTAGTGGTTGGGAGGATTCCATTGGTTCTGCAACGTCCGAATTGGATTCTGATTTATCGATGGAGCAAGGGGGTGTAGTATATTGTTCACCTACTGATTCATGTTGATGTTTATTGCAAAGTTGTCCATGGTTGGAATTATGTGGCGGAGTATTTGGATGGGACGGTATTTTCCCCTTAGAGAGATTGGAATCATTGGCATTGTGGTGATTAGAGGAGTTTATAAGTTGTTTATTACAAGGTTTATTTGGGGATTGATTGTATTTATCACAGTTAGGATCTACATGATTATTGGCAGCTTGCTCATTATAGTAGTTAATGGACAATTTGTTGCTTTGGTGAGAGTTTTTAGTGATATGATTTTGTCCTTTATCGTTGGTATTTGAGGAATCAATTGTTTGGGTGTTGGATTCGCTTGTTTCTTTAGAAGGAGACACGTGTAGGACACTTGTAGTCATATTGTAATCCTAATTTGAGGCACATTGTTTTGGATTTTCGGCAATAGTATTTTTAAAAATGGTATTTGATAAGTAGGGATTTTGATTATTTATTAATACCTTTTTGTTTTTGTTTTAGTCTGAAAGTATTTATTTATGTTCTCAAAACTAATGAAAATATGCAAATTGCAGGAATGTTGGAAGTTTGGTCTCCCGTGATGAAATCCGACTCAAAAGAGAGTGCTCTGACTCACAAGGCAATAAAGGGCGCATAATCAAAGAAGTGTGGTCCGCAAAAGGATTTTTGCGGCCGCAAAAGAAAGTGCGGACCGCATAATTTCATCTGCGGCCGCAAACCAAGTGAAAGAACCCAATAGGACTTTGGCCAATGTGCGGCCGCAGAACAGGGTCTGCACTAACAAATGATCCCAAGTTCAGAGAGTGTGCAAAAGACCAAGTCCTGAAGCCTTGCTGAAGTGCGGCCGCAGAAGATGCTTCGCAGCCGCAATCCAGAAATGTGCGGCTGTAGAATCCAAGCTCCTGCCAACTCAAAATATTTGCGAACTACACATGGAATTGTGCGGTAACAGAACCTCCCGATGGGCATATTTGTCAGAAATTTTTGTGCCACTATAAATAGACGAGTTACACATTTTTAGGTCAAGTTTTGAAGTGTGAGCTGCTGTAGCCGTTACATTTTGTCATTTTAGGAAGTTTGTGGTTATTTTAGTGTTTAAACATTATATTTTATCATTTTAATCTTTGATTATGGGTTTAATTAGCATTTCTTCTTTATTTTCTTCAATTCTCACTATGAGTAGCTAGATTCGTACTAGGGTGGTGACCCAACCCTAGTGTGTAAACCTTATGGGTAATTAATTTAATGTTTGTTTATGATTGAGTGTTTATTATTTAGCTTAGTTCATGCTTCAATTTTAGAATTAATGGTTGCAAACATTGATTCATGCCTTTTTGAGTGAGTCTCTACTTGAGAAAGGGGGACCTAATCTAGGATAACTTGGCTAACAAAGAATTGAGTTAATTGAGAGTTTGATTAGCCTAATTAAATGGTTCAAATTAGAGATAGTAAGAACCTGACTTGAGCTCATATCAACTATTTTGTTTGATACCCATTTGGACTTGAGAAAACCAAATTGGCAAAATTACTCTTTGACCGGCAGGTATTGAGTGGGTAATGTAGAGTTGAGAGCTATAATGCACCCCAATAAATAAAATAAGTATTAACATATTTAACCCATTAGGCGAACACTTAGGTTATGGTCACATCCCTATGCTTTTTAACTATTTGAAAAAAGACCAAAAACAATCATTCGCTTCTAGATTCTTATCTTAGCTTACAATTGTTAGAGTAATTATAGAATTGGAAATCAAAACCTTTTTGTGGAAGTGCAAATTTAGTTAATCCATTCACTCTCGTCAGGGGTATACTCCTAGCACCCATTGTAACTCCCTGTGGAAATCGACTCCGACTCTTGTTGGGTACTATTCTTCCAACGATTGTTTTCATTCACTATTGAGTGCGGATTGGACGTGGATCAATTTTTGGCACCGTTGCCGAGGAGTTAAAATAGCATTAGCTATATATTTGGATTTGTTTTTGGAATATCTTCTTTTCCTTCTATGTTACTAAGTTGTGTGAGAAATCTTAAGTACAACCATGGTGAACAATGAGCTCGAAAATTTGCCTTTGGGGAATTTGGATGCGGAGGACGAGTAAGTAGAGGAGGTACCTCATGAACCACAAGCTAATCGGAGAGGCTGGGTACCTCATGACAATGTGCCCGTTCTACCCCCACCTCTACCACGAGCGGCTCCACACCGGATATTTCCCAACGAAGGTTATGCTAGTGCAATAGTCCCTCCCCGTATTAGGCGGGCAACTTCCAAATCACCAATGCGATGCTCACTTTGCTTGAGCAACGGGGATTCTTTACCGGTGCTCCAACACAAAATGCTTATAAATATTTGAAGGGGTTTGTGGACACTTGTTGGGGGAGCAAGCAAACAAATGTCTCCGAGGATGCATTGAGGCTAAGGCTTTTTCCCTTCTTTCTACGGGGGAAAGCTTTAGATTGGTTGGAACGATTGCCGAACCATTCAATTCACACTTAGGATGAGTTGGCAGAAAAGTTTATTGCTAAGTTTTTCTCTCTCGGACACATGGCAACACTTCGAGATGAGATCTTAGCATTCAAGCAAGAGCCGAATGAACCACTACACGAGATATGGGAATGCTACAGAACTATGGTCAAGGAATGTCCCAACAACGATATGACGAAAAGCATGATTCAACAAACCTTCTATCGTGGGATTAACACAATCAACCAATGTGTAGTGAATCAACTAGCCAGTGGGAACTTTATGACTATGCCTTATGCAGAGGCGTGTGATATTTTGGATGAGATGGCGGAAATGTCATCGGCTTGGCAATCCCGGGTCAATGTTTCACAAGGTGACCCGAATTTGATCCATCTTCACAAAGAATTGCAAAATCATGGGTAAGCCATTGCCGAACTGACAACTACCATGACTCAACTAGCGAAGGCCCAACTAAATCAAGTGCAAAATTCTAAGCAAGTCAATGTTATGGAAGGAGTAAACATGATGGTGAACAAAAGGAGGACCAAGGGTCCACGAGTGCAAAATCGAGTAGAGAACTATGTGCAAGAAGATAGTAGTTTTGAGCAAGATGATTCCTATAATGAACAAGAGAGGAGGTGAAATATATGAATAATTTTCAAGGGCAAAGAAATAACTTTCAAGGCCCAAGCCAACAACAATGGAAACATCAAAACAATCAAGGCAATAAGAATTCTAACAATCAAGAAAATTGGAGTGGAGGCAACAATCAAGGGAATTGGCATAACAACAACAATCAAGAAAATTGGAGTAGAAACAACCAAGGAAATTGGGGAGGTAACAATCAAGGCGGATGGAATAACAATCAAGGCAACTGGGGGTCGGGTTTTCAAAGGCCCACAATATACCAACAACCAAGCAACCCACCTCCTTATCCTTCCCATGGTTCGAGTTCTTCAAACAATGAGATGGGCGTATTAAAAATATGTTCAAGCAAATGATGGAAAAGAATGCCGATTCGGATGCCCAACTAGCCTCACACAAAACATCAATCTGCAACCTAGAAGTTCAAATGGGGCAAATATCTCAAGCCTTAAATTCTCGTCCTAAGGAGGTACTACCAAGTGACACGGTGGTAAACCCAAAGGGTGGTAACAACACGAGGCATGCCTTGGCGATTATCAAAAGAAGTGGAAGAGGCGGGAATGCACCCACCTCAAGTGGAAGGCAACTTGTTGATGATGATCAAGTGATGCAAGAAGAAGAGTTCCCGAACAATGTGGTGCAACCTAATGATGAAGTTAGGATTGATATTGATGATAGTGTGGAAGAGACTCAAGAGGAGGTGAACCCATCTAGGGAATACATTATTGACATACCGGAGTCGGTAGTGCAAAAATC